ATAGGGACTATCCTTTCTCTATAGGAGGGGGTAGTGTAATAATAAGGTAGAATTGCCTACCTATTATTCTATACTAAGTTAGGCCTAATAAAGGCCTAACTTACTAATATATATAGAGAACAGCTCGCCTATAGTTAGGATAGGCATGTTCTTCTTGTCCTTTCGTACAAGACCTATAGGTGTAGGAATCTTATCCTTTTCCGTACAGACGCGCACTCCTATATGCCTTTGAGTCGTATAGGATACCTTTTAGATGCCCTACCTACCTAAGTTGTTACAAGGGGCACTCTATATACCTATACTAAAAAAGATTATAGGCTTAATATAGCCTACTATAAGGTTAGTAAGGTTAAGAAGACTAGCTAGCCCTTTATAATAGAGGTCTATAAGGTAAAGAGTAAATATATTATTAACCTATTCTTAACTTATTATACTAATATATATAGACTTCTATATAAAGGTTATATATAATTACTAGAATACTCCTTACTATAAGTTATTTAGAATATATTTAAAACTTATTACTAATATATTTTATAGAAGTTCTCTAAGCCTAGCTAGCAGCTACTATAGGCCCCCCTGCAAATACTAATACCCTCCTAAATATAATTTAGAAGAAGACTTGCACTAGCTATAACACTAATAAGGTATAGCCTGCAAGAACCTATTAAAAATATATTACTAACTTGTTATAGCTTAACTTTATTACTATATCTACCCTACTAAGAATTTAAGGTTATTAGGTTCCTTATACTATCTACGCTTATAATTATCCTAGCTATAGTAAGTTATTTATAATATATTATTAACCTATTCCTAATATATTTTAAGACTGTTACTTTAATACTAGTATAGACCTTGCTAATTCCTGCTAGAATACCGCCTAGTTCTACTTGTAGTATACTTTTATAGAGCCTAGGGAGGATAAGGAGGATAAAGAAGATACTAGAGAGGGGGAGGGAGATAATAATAGCAATAAGTAGGAACATATTAAGAACGTGTTAAGAATAGGTTCTAATAAATAATATATAATAGTATATAACCTAAAGGGGTAGTAGTAATTACTAAAATAAACTCTCTACTCTTCTCTTTTTTTTTCTATCTACTAAAAGTAAAGTACTATTTACTTTTATAGGGTCCTTTAATAGTATATAACTTTTTCTTTTAACTTTTATAGGTATTATAAAGCTCTAGTAGTCCCTTAGATTAAAGAAGAATCTAGTATTTATAGGTGTCTAGCTATAATATATTATTAATATATTCTAAATATATTTTAAGAGACTAGACTTATATCTCCTTTTTACTACTTTTGCTAAATATTATTTATAGTATAAAGGGGAGCAACTATTTGCTCCTCTTCTTTACTCTCTACTTCCTCTTTAGCCTCTACTTTAGCTACTACTTCTTATTATAGACTAGCTATCTTAGAGGGTTCTTAAACCTTAGAGGAGGCACTTAGTGCAGTCTACTCTACTAGTAGAGAATATATTATTAATATATTTAGAATATATTCTTAAGCATTTACTATTAAGCTCCTATAGAAGATCCTTACTTCTATAATACCTTATATTATAGTTCTGCTATAGTTTACTAGGGCTATTTAAACCTTAGGATAATACCTCTTAAGGTAGTAGATAAGATTACCTTTATTAGAGAAGCAACGCTAAAATAGTTATTAATATATTATAAATATATTCTAACTTATATGTATATATACTCTATAAAGTTCCTATACCCCTAATCTAGCCTAAATAGCCTAGTAGAAAAGCTTGCTAGGAAATACTATACACCTATTATTTAGGTAGGATATTATAGGAGAGAATACCCTAGTATTAGATAGAAGTGACTTAAGCTTAATATATTACTAGTATAAATCCTACTTAGTATTAGAATAAGTTTATAACATGTTCCTAACGCGTTCTATTATATACTAACTTTAAAAGATCTTTATAGACTATATTAACTAGTTATATCTAATAATATTAGGAAAGATAGATAGTAAAATAGTATTAAACTCTTAAATATAAAAAGTTCTTATAGAGTGTAAGAAGAAAGAAGAAGAAAGAGAAGAAGAAAGAATATATATTTATCTACTTATATATACTTATATAATAGACTAGAATATATTAAGAACTAGTTAGGAACTAGTTACTATATTTATAGACTAACCCTACCTTATATAAAAAATAGCTATCTTTTTCTTAAGTTTAAACTATACCTTTTATAATTTAAATAGTGCCTTTTTCTATGCAAGTTCTTCCTTATCTACCTCTAGCTTTTCTTTTCTCTCCTTTAGAGCCTAATTACTAAGAAGAGCCTTTTATTATAAAGTTTATAGTTATAGACTAATAATAAGTTAGGAACGTGTTATAAACATGTTTTATAAAGCATACCTTTAGGTTACTATTAGTAGAGGAGAAGAGCCTAGTAGTAGAGAAAATAGAAAAGGGGCTAGTAAACTTCTTTCTAATACTACTCTACTACTTGCCCTCTAGCTTTAGGCTTTTAAGCGTGCTCTTTTATTTCTTATTAGGACTAAGATATATCTAGTTAAGTTAGATATAGCAAGACTTGCTTTATTATTATCTAGAGTATTATTATTATTATAAGATATATTCTAAATATATTCTAAACATGTTTTAATTAGCAAATATATATAACGCTAGCGTAAGACTTACTTTCTCCCCTCTAAAGCTTTTTAAGGTACCTTTGCTTAAGCCTATTAGGAGTTCTATAGTTATAGTATATTCTAAACTTGCTCTAGGCTTTAAACTCTTTTATATCCTATAGATCTATCTAGTGTGTACTATATAATATTACTTATATAATTCTAATAGGTTAAGAATAGGTTATAAACTTACTTCTAAGTAGCCTTAAGAATACTTATATACTTACTAGTTTTATATCCTTTCTAGCCTACTTGCTTAGCTATATTTAAATAAGATTCTGAGTTTTTCCATATACCTCTTTTAATATTTTAGTATAGCCTTGCATAATCCTAATAGTAATTACTCCGCATCAGCTCGAGAATCGGTGACCT